AATACAAAGTTATGATAAAAACACTGAAAGAAGGTGCAGCTGCCTGTTTAAAACAAGAAATTCCGTTACATAATCCGTTAAACCAACAAATTCCGTTAGTTTTTCCGTTAAACCAACAAATTCCGTTAAATAGACATTTTTTTATATATAGAAAGATATATAGTGGAAATTATACAAAATCGAAATTTTCAAAATAAAACTTCAAATTTCAGATACAAAGTTTCACTTTTCAAAAATCAGATCTTTCCTCCCAAACCCTAATCAATTTCATCACAATCCAACTTTCTTCCTCCTCTCTCTCTCTCTCTTGATCTCCTCTGCTGTCTTCTATTCTCTGCCATCGTCTCTATTCTCTTCTCACTCTCTCTTGGTGTCGTAAGGTGGGTCTCCACCGATCTAGCCTAGGAGGACGCTATGGCGGCATTGGCGATTGGGGGTTAGGCTAGGACCTGGGTTGGTATTGGCAGCATTGGTAGCTGAGGTTGTGTTAGTGGTGTAGGATGTTCGATTGGTGGTGGGTCTAATGTCGCCACCGTAGTTGGTGGGCCGGAGAAATTTAGGCCGTCTGGTGCCGATATCTCCGTCGCCATATGGAGAGTGAGTGCTACTGTTGTTTGTTAGGTTGAGATAAAAGGGAAATGGGATAATCGGACTTAAAGGTTGGGTTTTACATTTGGGCTTATATGTTCTAATTTTGTGTTGGCGGTGGCGGTCTCCGTATCCTCTCCTTACTCTCTCTTCTTACTCTCTTCCTCTTCACCGGAGGAAACGACATCTGGGGAAGAGTTGAGTACCACCGTGCACAGCGTCAGATCATCGCTGCCACGTGGAATGACGGTAATGAATTTGAGGAGACAGTGGTGGTGTTGACGGTAATGGGTTTGAGGAGACGGTGGTGGTACGGTGGCATTGGTGGTTGTGCTACTGTTGGTGGAGGTGGTGGCGTTGACGGTAATAAATTTGAGGAGACGATGGTGGTGGTACAGGCGGCATTGGAGGTTGTGCTACTGATGGCGAATGTGGTGGTTACAAATTGTTTTGTTGATTTGTTTGGGGTGGTGTTGCTGTCGGGTTCCGGCGGCGATGGTGGGAGTGGTGCTGCTAGAGGGAGTGGTGAGGTGGTGGTTATAAATTGTTTTGTTGATTTGTTTAATGTGTGACCTAAAAAATTGTTAATTTGTGATCGATAATTTGATAATTTGTGACTGTCTACTAAACTGTGACTTATAATATTTGTGATTTGTGACCGATAAATAAATTGTGACGTATAATTTTTTTACATTTGTAATCGATGAACAAATTGTGACTTATAAAATTTTTGAATTATGACCGTAAAATAATTTGTAACTTATAAAATTTCTGATTTATGACTGATAAACAAATTGTGACATATAATTTTTTTGAATTGTAACCGTAAAATAATTTGTGACATTTCAATTTTTTATTTGTGGCCGATGAACAAATTGTGACCTATAAATTTTTTGAATTGTGACATGTAAAATTTATAATTTGTGACAAATTAATAATAT